ATGAGAGAGAAACATCGATCAGCTGCCTCTTGGACACCTCCTACTGGGGCTGTGCCTGCAACCAAGGTACATGCCCTTGACCGGAATCAAACCTGGGACCTTTCAGTCCACAGGCCGACGATCTATCCACTGAGTCAAACCGGTTAGGGCTAAAACAATATTTCTTAAAAAAACAAACATAAGGACTGAAATAAAATGACAAAATAATTGCACAAAATTATTTCCTCCCTGAATTTCAGGGCTGGGGTGCTTCTTAGGAAGTTTCAGTCAATATAATCCCAACCAGCTAGGACAAGGTAAACCTGATATGGTGCTCAACAATAATGCCTAGATTTGTTTAGTGATGGTTGTGAAATAATTTTATTCTACGTAAATTTCTTAATGAAATCACCACCTGGAGAGAGAAAGAAAATAGAAACAAACTCTCGTACATTCTGTGACTCTATCTAACATAAATGGGCCAAAATTTATCCACCAGTTTTATGACGCATTTTTCTTTAAACCTGGCTGCATCTCAAAAATACTGCAGCGAGATACTGAAAACATTTAATGAGAAACATAAAACACGTGCAGATAAGGTAGGAAAATATATGTGCATTCATAGTCACTATGAGCTGCCTCGTTTATCATGCTTAGACAATAATTTAGATGTCTTAACACAGTTTTATTCCCAACTGTTGGTAGTAATTTTGCTGCTACCTCTAAAATAGGCGAGTTTCATCATCAATAGATAGGTAACAGTTGTCTAGAGTGTTGTAGTGCTGCTTCTGGGTTTAGTGCCATAAAAAACAAAACTGTTTCACAGGAAAGTAAATCAGGTTGCCTCACTGAAATATGAGAGACTGGACTGAGCAGAACTCCTAAGCAAATCCATTCGTTTTTCTCTTCTGTTTAAAAACAGGTGAGTTTTGGAAATATCGGATTCCTGATCTGACCCTCAAGAGGTGAATTTAATTATAAAGGGATGATGGTCCTTTTACAGCTCATCTGACCAAAATTTAGATGTTATAATGCTCTTAATATAGTTATATAACCAGGTCATTCAAGGCATCTCACAAGGGCAGAAGAGCTCCTCTCCCCCCTTCATTCCTTTCTCAGTCCTGCTTTCAATTACTGGCTTCTCAAAACCATTTAAGAAATCACTGAGGACTAACAGGCCATTGGAAAGCCCAGACCAACTGCCCAAGGACAGAAAGGTACACTGGTTCTGTTTAGAAAAACCTGGGGAATAGCATGTAGATCATTGCCACTGAGTTGGCCATTAGATGAGTTCCTTCTCACAGTGTAAAGAATAGTAGCCATTTTTTAGTGGTTAATAGAACCCAATGTGTCATCTGATTTGAAGTCTCTGTGTTGTTGTTTTATTTTCTTTTTCTTTCCAGGTGGAGTATCTTTGCAAAGTCCCATCTTATCCTCTGTTTGTTTTTGGCTTAATAAAAGACTGGACTGAGCAGAACTCCTAAGCAAATCCAATTATATTGGATTTTAATAAATTAATTTTATTTTATTCTTGTCAGTATTAGAGATGTCTCCCATTTTCTCCACCCAGCCCCCACCCCTTTCCCATGCTATTGCCTGTATCCAGGGGTTACGCATATATGCATATATGTTCTTTGGTTAATCTTTTTCTGTTCCCTCCAAACCCCTCCCTTCAAGGTCTGTTATTCTGTTCCATGAATCTATACCTCTGGACCTATTTTGTTCATCAGTTCATTTTGTTCCTTAGAGTCCCCTTATAAATGAGAACATGTGATATTTGTCTTTCTCTAACTGGCTTATTTCGCTTAGCATAATAGTTTTCCAGAGCCATCCATGCTGTTTCAAAGAGCAAGAGACCCTCCTTTTTCATGGCTGCATAGTATTCCATGGGTAAATGTCCCGCCGCTTTTTTATATATTCATCTACCAAACAAAATAGGCACTTGGGCTGTTTCCAGATCTTAGCTATTGTAAATAACCCTACTATGAACATAGGGTGCTTATATGTTTTCTGATTAGATTTTCAGGATTCTTAGGATATATGCCCAAAAGTGGGATCTCTGGATTAAATGGCAGTTTCATTAATTTTTTTGAGGAAACTCCATACTGTTTTCCACAGTGAGTGTATTAGTCTGCATTCCTACCAGCAGTGTGCTATGGTTTCCTTTTCTCCAAATGCTTCCCAGCATTTGTTGTTTGTTGATTTTTTTATGGTAGCCATTCTGATAGGTATGAGGTGATACCTCATTACAGTTTTAATTTGCATATCTCTGATGATTAGTGACTTTGAGCATTTTTTCATGTGTCTATTGGCCATCTGTATGTCCTCCTTGGAGAAGTGTCTATTCGGGTCCTTTGCCCATTTTTAAATTGGATTGCTTGTCTTCCTGATGTTGAGGTGTATCTTGAGAAAGAACAGAGTTAGAGGTAACAAAATATCAGATACCAAACTATATTACAAAGCCATTGTATAAAATAGTGGTACTGGCAGAAGAAAAGGCATATAGACCAATGGAACAGAACAGAGGCCCCAGAAATCAACCCACACAAATATGTCCAGTTAATATTTGACAACAGAGGTAAGAGCATACAATGGAGTAAATGGTGTTGGGAAAATTGGACAGGTACTGTATTTTTTTCTTTCCAGGTAGAGTGCCTTTGCAAAGTCTCACCATTAAAAAAAAAAAATGAAACTAGACTACCAACTTATACCATACACAAGAATAATCTCAAAATGGATAAAAGACTTAAATGTAAATTGTGAAACCATAAAAGTCCTAGAAGAAAAATAAGCAGTAAAATCTCTGGCATCTCGATATAGCAGTATTTTCACCAATATATCGCCCAGACAGTGGTTCTCAACCTTCCTAATGCTGCAACCCTTTAATACAGTTCCTCAAGTTGTGGTGACCCCCCCACCATTATTTTCGTTGCTACTTTATAACTGTCATTTTGCTACTGTTATGAATTGTAATGTAAATATCTGATATGCAGGATGTATTTTCATTGTTACAAATTGAACATAGTTAAAGCATATTGATTAACACAAAAACAATACGTAATTATATATGTGTTTTCCGATGGTCTTAGACGACCCCTGTGAAAGGGTCGTTCGACCCCCAAAGGGGTCGCGACCCACAGGTTGAGAACCGCTGGCCTAGAGCAAGGGAAACAAAGAAAAAAAAAATAACAAATGGTACTACTTCAAACTGAAAAGCTTCTCCACAGCAAAAGAAACCATCAACAAAGTGAAAAGGAAATCTACTGTATGGGAAAATATCTGATAAGGGTTAATATCCACCTTATCCTCTCTTAATAGTTATGATGCGCTCTTGGCCAGAATGACTTGCATAATATAGTCAGGTTACAGTTATTTTCAGAAAAATAGGTTAGCCATCGTCATTATCATCAAACATAATTAATTGGTCAGATGTCCATATTAGTGTGCAGGGCAGCTTGTCCTTTGCTATTCAAAAATTTTTTAATTTTGTTTATATTTCTTTTAATGTAGTAAGGGTACTCTCTCATAATTCCTTAACTGAGACAGAACTATTTACATTTCTTCTCAATTTTACATCCATATTATAAAATAATGCTTTTCTGTGATTAACATTATTTCCTACACTTCTGTGCATCTTCATAAAACATCACATTTGTTTGGTGTTGTCTAATTTTTCCATGAAGCTTCGTTTATTCATCCCTTCATTCAATACATATTTATCAGCCACGTTTCTAGTTACTAGAGCTGCCTGAGTGAACAAAGCAGACAAAAATCCCCGCCTTCAAAAAACTTACATTATTTCAAAATATTGCAACTTTAGGCGACCTTTTAAAATAAAAATCCCTATCTTATAAGACCCATCTATTTGGTCCCTCCATGCATATGTCCAGCATTTACAAATAACATTGATGAACCATTTCTTTTGTGTCTAATCACTTTATATTGAGTGCACTTAATCCTCACAATAACTCTAGAAGTAGTTACTATTATGATCCCTAATTTACATATGAGGAAGTTGAGGCGTTAAGGGAATAACAAGATTAGATTCCCCTTGGCTCATAACAAACATTTCAGATGATGCTTTACATATATTTGATGAATGGATGAATGGGTATGTGCCCTTTTTGGAATTCCCGTTCAGCTTGGCCTAAACACCAACAACGTGTCTTACCCTAGAACAATATAGGCATTTTGTGGGGAGGTGGGAAGGATGATAGAAAATTAATGAGTTTTGAGTGCGTTTAGGCCGATGATCTTACAGGTGTTTGGTCATTTGTCAAGTGTGGTTGCCTCATAAGGTGAGAGAGCTGGACAGCGACACAGACTCCCTCCACTTGGGGCCTCAAGCGGAGGTGTCCCTGGGATGCAAGCCCATCAGCAGTGTTGGAGAGCTCCCGCAGAGCCCAGGAACCGGAGGAGACTTGTGGGGTGCTGGCTGCCCTGAATGTGAGGTTAAACCGGGGCAGCCAGAGCCCAGAGAAGGGCAGGCGAAACTAGGGCGCCTGCCCTGGCAGTGGGCATGGGCGGCCGCACCTGTAAAACTGTATAGGATTTGGAAAGATGGACGCTACCTTTGCGTGGGTTAAAGCCGCGCAAAGTCGTGGTGGGGACATGAATCACTGCGCTCCCCTATTCTCTCACTCTATGGCCCCACGATTTGTTTCACCCACACACTTCCCACAGGCTCCTTCCCCTTCCTTCCCCACACCCCCTACCCACGTTTTCTCCCTGCCCGCCAGGGCGCGCATGCGCAGAGCGATTCCAGGCGCAGCCGCGGGGCATCGATCGATTCGGTGCTCGGCTCCTCCACCGATCTGCGCTCCATTGAGGATCCTGGTGCAGTCACTTCCGGTTCCTGGCTCCGCTTCCGGCTTTCGGTGGTTACGGGACGCCGGGCGGGCCTCAGGTCAGTTTGAATGAGTTGTGTCCCGCTGTTTCGATTTCCAGGCGGCAGGTTGGCCCTCGGCCCAGCGCTCCCTTGTGGGAGCTGCGAGTGGACGGGGCGGCGTGGTGGGGCTGGATGTACCGGACCTGGGGTTCGCGGAAGGCTGGGCCAGCGGGCGGGGGAGGAATGGAGGCTGCAGCGCCGCTCCGGCGAGGCCTCCCATCTTAAGAGTGTTGTCTGGAGTCAGACGTGTAGGGTCCGGGACCACGGGGCTACTTCCTTGGGCTTCGGTCCGGGGCCTTGGGCGATTGTGCTTGTGTCGGGAGAGGAGGGATGATTGTACGAAGTGAAGGATGATTATTGCCCCTTTGCTGGTTCCAGCTCGCTCTGAGCTTTCGTGTAGCTTCCGGAGGCTCCTTTTTGGATTGAGAAGCTTCCCCGGTGCCCCTGCAGTCGTCCAGGCAACCATCCAACCTACCCTGAGCCTCCCCTCTGATCATTTCCCTCCTATTGGCGACCTCAGGTTTCAGATGAGCAGCCCGCAGGTCTCTGAGAAGCCTGCCTTTTAACGTATTGCCCGCCCAAGCGGAGCCCCTGTCCGCGGGCCCTTTCCTTGCCAGTCATCCTGTGTTCTTCACATACAGTGGGTGAAGCTAGGTATTTGTGAAGTTAAAGGATATGTGGGACGGCCTAGGGAACAAAGCAAGGTCAGAATTTGCAACTCAAAACGATGTGAAAGATGAACTATTGAGGTGAGTGTGGAAGAGGAGTGCGGAGAGCAGAAGGCAAGGGCGGATTTCCAGGCCTGCGGCTTATTAGCCGCGTGACCTTAGGCAAGTCCCTTCATTAACCTTTAATAGCAGCGGCTTTAGGCGCTTACTGCCCAGGCAGGAACGCTGTGCTGGGACTTTGTCTCATTTAGTCTCCTGAGTTCTCCAGGCTAAATGCTGTTGACCACCATCCCCATTGTACAGATGGGGACCGGAGAGATTAGGGGACCTTCCCCAGTCACGCAGCTAGCCAGAGGCACAGACTGGGTTTGAATTCAGATCTGGCTGATACTAGAATCTGAGCTCTTAACCATCGTGCGGTACTGATCTCTCACAGCTCCATCCCTTTATTTATTTTTTAAAAAATATATTTTGTTGATTTTTTACAGAGAGGAAGGGAGAGGGATAGAGAGTTAGAAACATCCATGAGAGAGAAACATCCATCAGCTGCCTCCTGCACATCCGCTGCTGGGGATGTGCCCGCAACCAAGGTACATGCCCTTGACCGGAATTGAACCTGGGACCCTTCAGTCCGCAGGCCGACGCTCTATCCACTGAGCCAAACCGGCTAGCGCTCCATTTCTTTAATTGGCTCAAGATAACTGTGGAGTGAGGACAGTAAGTGGTGATGTGTATAAATTAGTGACAGATATGAAAGTGCTTTGTAATTGTACACATGAAGTAGTAGTTCTTGGCAAACTTCATTAATGTTCTAAATGGTTTTTACTGGCTGTACATTTGCTAGTTTCTTTTTCATTTTTCTTCAAATCTCGGGGTTTAAATAATTTAAAAAGTAAAGTTGTTTTATTAGGCAGATGGAAAAACAATATCACTTGGTTATAAGTGGAAGATAAGTATAAAATTTATTGAATAAAGTAATGTTAAAAATCTTACTAGGTACTAGTGCTCCACCAAGCATTATTCTCCTTTTGTTTTAATAAAAAAAAAAAAAAAAAGGCTAGCAAGAGTTGGAGAGCTTTAAAGACTACTGCCAAACTGATGTTTTCCGGCATTAGGGAATGAAGGAGAACTGAAAAGTTAGTAACACTTGTGTTGTGTCCTAATGTCACACCAAGAGCATGAGTTAAGTCTTCCCTGTTTGTAACAGAATATTTACTGTCTCTTCAGGCTGCTTGGACAGCTTAACCCAAAAGATGGATATCAGACCAAACCATACAATTTATATCAACAATATGAATGACAAAATTAAAAAAGAAGGTGAGTGTGCTTTAAAAAGATTTGTTCGTAGCCAAAATGTGTTTAATTACTACTGTCTTAAAAACTACTGTTTCATGGGACCTTTCCCCCTCCCCACGTGGGAGTCTGTCCTTGTTCATAAATCTCCACCTTTGCTGCCCCCCGCCAAAAAGAAATTGTACTGCTTCAAAACTTCTCATTTAATTATCTTTCTCAGTGCCCGAAATTTTGGTTTATCCCTATTGGGTAAGGATTTTAAGGCTTAAAAATAAAATAGGTAAGGGCTGAAAAATGTGTTGAATCTGTTTTCACTCATTGTATACATGTATATAAGCCATACCAATGGACATGGACAACAGGGGGATGGGAGCATGAGTTTGTGTGTGCGGGGGAGGTTGGGGGTTAATGGGGGGGATGAGGACACATTTGTAATACCTTAACTAATAATAATAATAAAAAAAAATGATTTCAAATAACGTTTTAAGTCAGAGAGCTTTATAGTCTGATGTTATTAAAATGTATAACTATATAAATGAATACATGAATGGTAGGGAAGCACTTAATTCAGTGTCGTTTATGAAGAATTTAGTCATTGTTTCATTCACAAATAAGTTGTTTCCCTCTAATTTTACACAGAATTGAAGAGATCCCTGTATGCCCTGTTTTCTCAGTTTGGCCATGTTGTAGATATTGTAGCTTTAAAGACCATGAAAATGAGGGGGCAAGCCTTTGTTATATTTAAAGAATTGGGCTCATCCACAAATGCCTTGAGACAGTTACAAGGATTTCCATTTTATGGTAAACCAATGGTAAGTTGATTTCAGTATTTTGGCTTTAATCTCTACTTGTGGTATAGTAGATATGTAACTATACACTTGAAACTATAGCTATTGCTTTCTGGTTTTATCTGTATGTTAGAGGGAGTTTGCGTTTGTTTTATGTATCTTTATAGAAACAGTGTTAGAGTTTATAATTTACTTCTTAATTTATGACAGTTCATATGGACAAAACCAAAATAGCTTGAGAGGTATTGTATGATTTCCATTCTCTGCCTTCAAGAAGGTAGCACATACCTGCTGAATTTGTGGCATCCTGGGAGAGGGAGAAGAACATTCTTTGAGCCATCTTGTTTGTACTGATTGAGGTAGTTATAGTTGCTCTTCATACCAATCAGAAAGTGAGCAAAATTTGCTATAACTTAGAACTCAGAGCAAAATTATTCTCTGATTCAAGGACATTTGATCATTTAATGCCAAAAATACCTCAATAAAGTAGAATCACCCTAAAGGGCTTCTGTGGTGAAACCTTTGGTTTAAATATAAACGTTGCCTCTTCTCAAAGCTGCGGGTGGGCTTTTACTCTTTATCCATAGTCTCCACCAGGGTTTTTCAACACTGGCACGTTGACATTTTGAACTGAATCATTTTGTTGTTGTTGTTGTTGTTGTGGAGGTCTGTCTTGTTCATTGTAGTGTTTGATAGCATCCCTGACCTCAGCCCACTACATGCCAGTTTCATGACAACCAGCAGTGTCTCCAGTTAACATTGCCAGCTATCTCCTGGTGGGCAAAATCACCTCTGGCTGAGAACTACCATTCTAGAACAGCCAGCTAAAAGCGATGGCTGAGATCAGAGATTGTCACAGGTGATTGTCAAAAGGACAGACACCAGAGATCTGCTCAGGTCAGGGAGAAGATAGAAGACCCAGGGAAGGGGATTGGGAGGGAACCCTTGGAATTAAGTTGTCAGAGTTAGTCTAAGCTCTCAGCCTACCTTTGGTCAAATGATGATGTCTGAGACTAGCAGCGTTGCTTGCAGGGATAAGTACACTTAGAGCTACTCTAGCACAGCAGCCCAGACCAGAGGATGCCTAGTGGTAGCCTGGTCCCCTCCTGTTTCCCCAGTACATTCATCTCTAGATGAAGTGAACAAAAAGAAAAAGAATTGCTCTTGGTTTTGACAGATTTGTTGTTTTCAAACCCACACTACTTTAAAATGTCACTTGTTCCTTGCATACTGACATTGAATTCTTGCTGTATAAGACAGTTTGAATAGTGATTTGTTGCATATCTTGTTTTTAAATTTTTTTAATCTTCACCTGAGGATATATTTTTATTGATTTTAGAGAGAGAGAAACGGAGGGAGGGAAGGAGAGAGAAAGAGGGAGACAAATATCGATTGGTTGCCTCCCTTATGCACCCCGACCAGGGATTGAACCCAACACCCAGGTATGTGCCCAGACCTGGAATCAAACCACATCCTTTTGGTGTAGGAGGATGCTCCAACCGACTGAGCCACCCATCCAGGGCTCTTGTGTGTTTTGATTGTTGTGCTTTGATATGCTCAGAGACAGAGTTTCGGCTCTTACGGCTCCAGGGACGCGGTGTTTGCGGTTTTGTACACTGTAGATAACAGTTTAACTCATAGCAAAAGTTTCAGGATAGTTATTTGCATTGACTTCAGCTCTGTGATAATGCTTTAGGCCAAGACCTAAAAACTACTCAGAGTGTGGCAGCCATGCCAGTAGTATCACCCACACCTATGCATTGGAATCTGCACTTTTACAAACTCTTCCAGTAATTGGATTGCACATTCTAGTTTATGAAATGCTGTCCTAGACCGATGTTTTTCAACGCTGGCCTGTAGTCTTAGTTGTGCATACCGGTCCTGCTGGCTGTGGCCTAGTAAGAATGAGCCAGTGGCCTGGTTGCACAAGTTGTGCTGCCACGTTTTTGTTTCCTTTCAAAGCATTTTAAGTTCAAGTTGATGCCACTATTAGTTATTTTATTTAAGAATAATAGAGCAGATTGAGAAGTAAGTCATTCCCAATTTTTGGTGCTTTAACTTTGGAAGTAACAAGTTCCGAAGAACACATTTCACAGCTAACTGACACACCCTTCTACTGAGAGTCCCTGCTAAGGGATAGGCGACTTTCTCTATTCAAATGCAGTTTTCTCTATTCTTTTATTAAATGGAGAGAGGCAGTGGTACAGCTGTTTCACAGGCATGTTTTTCTCATATGAAAATCTATGGTTTTTCTTCTGAAAGCACAGTTGAATCTAAGTTTGTATAAGTTGTGAATCATAGGCCACAACTTATTTTTATTTAGCACTTAGCACATTTCACAGATTCCCTTAGGGATGGGTTTAAAATTATCTTGTAGTGTATTTGGATAATGAAATTTTAAATGTTAATGACTAGTGTAAACAACCTTGAGCATAATGAAAAGTAACTTGTTTTCAAATAATTAAAACAGCGAATCCAGTATGCAAAAACAGATTCAGATATAATATCTAAAATGCGTGGCACCTTTGCTGACAAAGAAAAGAAAAAAGAAAAGAAGAAAGCCAAAACTGTGGAACAGACAGCACTGACTGCTAATAAGAAGCCTGGTCTGGTAAGATGGACAAAAATTCTTTATTTTCTGGTGTTAAATTTTGATAGGAATGTCTTTGAGGTTCATGCATGCACATCTATGAATATATGTTTAAAGGTGGATTTTTAAGAAGCTGGACTGGTTGAGTTCTAAAGTTCCAATATTAATGTTCAAATAAATTAAAATATAAACCTTTACATGTGCAGATTTATGTTTGACAGTTTTATTTGAATTTGTATGACAGTTCATCATTCACAGAATATATTATATCTATTGACTTATTTCTCAAGTTCCGCTGCCTATAAACCATATATATTATCTTTAATCACGAGTACTCCACTCAAACCTGCTTTCTTTGAACAATTCAGGAATTCAAATTTTTAATTTAAAATAATAGGTAAAGTAAAATTATCATCCATAAGTAATTACTTTTAGATTAAAAGTGGTTAGAAGTCAGTTTCACAAAGTATAGTGCTTGACTTTTGTCTAATTGTTTAAAAAAAGCTAAGAAAAATTGTTCCCTTGTTTTTTCTCTTCTATATTTCTTCATAACTTTAAGGCATAACTTTATGACATACTATCTAAAATTTAGGGTTAGACCTTTAAAAAATACATGACAAGCCAAATACATGAATGTTTGAGTCAGAGCTAAGATGTAAATTCTTAAAGTAAAACTAAATGGAATAAGAAATCTGTTTAAATTAATGTTATTTTTATGTAGTAATTATAAATATAAGCACATGCTGCTTTTTTTAGAGGGATTGAAATTTTTAACTGTTCCTCTTTCTTTTGTTTAGGGAGCACCAAATTCAGTTAACCCCCAAGGAAATGCAACGCCAAACCCTCAGGTAGTATTTTTTGTGTGTGTGGTGCTTTAAAATAAAACTTTATATAAAGCAGTAGCAACAACATATAACAACTTGCATGTCTCCAAAAACTAAAAATAATTCTGTCTGTAAGATATAACATTAAGTTGTATAGCACTTTAATGTAGAAACCCACTCGGAATATTTTAATCTCCTTTAGGAGGGAGAAAACCAAGATGACTTTATTCCTCACTTTGGCTAATGAATCAGTGAGGGAATCAAAGTGACAGATTTTGAACTGTGAGGGCAGGGAGCAAACATTCCGTAGCCAAGGGCTGTACAGACACATGGCTCGTTTCTATTCCAGTTGGCTGAAGGGCTAAACCAGCTTTTCTAACAGACTTACACAAAGTTGTTTTCACTGAGTTGTTTCCTTTTTACCCTTGCTCTTTCTTCCTCGGCATAAATATATTTAAGTCTCCTTATATAGATAGCTTACAAACTCTTCCAGATCTCCTTGCTAACGGCCTCAGAGGAAGCCTCAATTATGTACTCATGGTTTCCTTCTTGTCTCCTAGGTGCTAGGGTCTGACAACATTCTTTTTTAAAAAGTTATATTTTGTTTTTATTGTTGACATTATTACAGATGTCCCCATTTCCCACCCTCATTCCCTCTGTCCCCAGATCCCGCCTTCCATCCCTTTGGCCCTCACCACATTGCTGTCTATGTCCATGGGCTGTGTGTATATGTTCTTTGGCTATTCTCTTTGCCTTCTTTCATCCCATTCACCCCACCTACCTCCCCTCTGACAGCTCTCAGTCTGTACCATGTATCTTTAATTTAGAGAATTCCTTATATCACTGAGGTTTTGCTGCTCTGATTTTAAGTTATTTGCATTTTCTTTATTACCTATTTTCCTTCTTTGAACTCTTGTAACAATTATACTCTAGTTTACAAATGCCAGCACTGAATTCTCTAAGCCTTAAATTGTTCATTTAAGTTGTTCTTTATACTTTATCTTTTTCTCCCCATAAAATTAGCCAGAGAGGGAAGCTTTTTCTTATAAACAGGATGATCTCCCTATAGATCCTTAATACTTGAGGATGGGGAATCAAATAGTTTTTAATATCTAATAACAGGGCTTGTTTCTACTTATTTGTGGGTAACTAGACTCATGTACATCTCGTTTACTTGCAAAAAATATTAGAAGTCACCAAATAGTGGTTCTCAATTTTCTTAAATGCTGGAAGGTAGTGAGCAGTAATGCAGAAAATTGAATATCACTGTTCTTGGGTAGCAAGCTAAAGGAGGGTGATATTGCCACCTCTCTAGTTTTGTTAGGATCTTTCAATTATGTAACCCAGATGACAGAATCCTCCAATTATGACAAAATTTAAATATTGGTTTAAATATTTTTAAATACTTAAAACTGATAAGATTTATAGTTTGCCAAATTTGTGTTAAGTGATTTGAATGTCTACTTAGTTACTGTTAGGTTTATATTTATTCCTCTGGTCTTGATTTTCAGCTATAGTGTTTGATGCATGCAGTAAGTTTTCATATTCCCTAATAAACTGTACAGTGTACCTCTCTTGAGTTTAGATTTTATGTAAGAGCCAAATGGTTTACAATATTTTTCATACTTACAAGCTAACTTTGCCTTTTTTCTTTTTAATAGGTCCCTGATTACCCTCCAAACTATATTTTATTCCTTAATAATTTACCAGAAGAGACTAATGAGATGATGTTATCCATGCTGTTTAATCAGTAAGTTTTATTATTAAAAAGTCTGTGTTCCAAGATTCTCCTGATAGGACAAATAGCACTTTCATGAGTTGAATCCATTTGTGTACCATACAGCAGTAATTTCTTACAAGCTCGTTGATTTGGTTTGGGATTAACCATGAATTAAAGTTAGTCTGCAAATTTAGCAAATAAAGACATGAATTACCACTGATGTTTGAATTATGAATTCTAATTGATGAGTAAAACTGAAAACAAAGCTTGGATACAGTGACAAGAATATAATTAGTTTATATTAATCCTGCAATTCTTCTAGTGTTAATTACATTTTAATTATAATATTATTAATTATCTTTATCCTACTCAGGATTCTTGGTAGGAAATAGTACTTTCCAGGAAGTTGCTTAATAAGTTTAAACACAGAGTAAACATTATATATGTATTTACATATATATAAATAATTTACATACATATAAATTGCTTTTCTTCCCAGGTTCCCTGGTTTCAAGGAAGTACGTTTGGTACCTGGGCGGCATGACATTGCATTTGTTGAATTTGAAAATGATGGACAGGCTGGAGCTGCCAGGGATGCTTTACAAGGATTTAAGATCACACCATCTCATGCCATGAAGATCACCTATGCCAAGAAATAACATTTGGGAGAGTTGTCTTTAAAGGACTTGGAGTTATTTATAGTGTTTGTTTTCATAACAATTGGTCAGGCCATTCTAATAGTTGGGGCTGGAAATGCAAGTAAAATTTTTGTGTAGATTTTTAAAAATTACCTATTAGTGAACTATGAAATGTGAAGGCCTTAATTTTGTACAATAAAGTTTTATACATAATACTTCATTTATTGGCCCACTGTCCTATTGTCAAATACTTGTGCTAAGTCTAGAGCACATGTTAAGGTAAATAAAACTGTAATAGGGTGTTTTTCTGGTATTGGAGCAGCTAATGAGAAACTGAACTATTTTAGTAAAAGCAAAGGGGAATTAGATCAAGTTCTTGATTAGATTTTCTGTAATGTTATTTTGTATGCATATGAACTGGGCTGGAGCTAAATTTGATCTTAATATTCAAATAAATGAGCATAGTATTTTGCTAGTAGTAGGCATGTCACAAATCTTTTTGCTCAGTGTTGAATAAAGGCCATTTAGGAGTAACTGTACTTACTGTTTTCTGGGAAAACAGCAAAAAAATGCTGTCTGTAAACTTCACATCTTGTGCTCTTACCCTCTTGAGGCAGGACTGTTCTAAGGAACACCTGCGTGGTTAATATTGAAACTATTGAAAGACCTTAATGTAAAGATTTTACAGTCTACAGTCTTTTTTGAGAAAAATAAGCTGACTTACAAAGGGCTGCCAATCCTAATCTTGCTGTTTTTGTAAGTCTCAAATATCAATGTTCAAATCTTTTCAACGCTTATGTTCTTTAGATTTGATTTATATCTGAGGCCATTGATTCAGGCCCCTGCTTGTAAAACCATGGTATCTAAAAAAGTGGGCAGTTTTTTCATGGATAGTACCTATTAAAGTGACTTTTAAAAAATATATATTTTTAATCCTCACTGGAGGAGGGGAGAGGGGGAAAGAGAGAGAAACATCTATATGAGAGAGAAACATAGATCAGTTACCTCCTGTATACACCCCAACCAGGGATTGAACCCGCCCTGACTGGGAACTGACTCTCCAAACAACTGGGTCACCCTGGCCAGGGCTGAAGTGACATTATTGGTCATTTTTTCATATTCCTGTTTTAATATTTCCTTGAACAAAACTTACCACTTAGAATTTGTATTGGTTTTGTTCTTTCAAATTCACAATTGACTATTAACAAGCCACCAGGTCAACTTCCCTCCTGCTCTCTCTAAATTATTGCTCTTAACTTTACCTCAAGCACATTTTTGTCTTTGTTTTCCTCTTTGGAACTCAAAGGCTTGTGATCCCATCTTGCCTGAGTCCTCCCTTTTCGGTGGCCAGCAGCTGCCATCCTCCCCTCTCTGTGGGGTGTCAGTCCAGTCTTTGTGCTTCCGACTCTTCTGCAAGTCTGCCATGAAGTCTGTGCTCTGCGTCAGGCTCTGAATTCTCTCCTGGCTAAGAATGTTCACTCCTGAGTGCAATAGCTTTGTTGCAGCTTTATAATAAGTGGTCCCTGGTTTGTTGTAAATCATAGCATCAGTACACATAAGCTTGAAGTTATCCTTCAGTTCTGTAGACTGGTAGTCGGTCTTTTTCATGGTACTAAAATCTATTGGGTGGTTAATGATCATGAAGTAGCTGGGAGCAATAAAGTCAGTCACAGGACATGAAAAGAAAGCACTTGGGTCTTTTATTTGCAACTGTCTCATCAATTGATTCAAAGAGGTGTGTGTTCTACTTCTTGTTTGGCTAAGGAGCTTGGGAGGCTTCTCAGGAGGCAAGTCTAATCCTGCAGGGCCCTGGCCCTGGAGGTCTTTTTCGGCCTCATTCTCCACATGTTCTGGCTTCTTTCTGTCTTCCTTCACACGCTTCTGTGTTTCTCCCTTGAACCTGCTTTTCGTCCTTCTCTTTTTCTGAGTTCTGTCCTTGTGTTCGTCATGATCCTTCTCTCAAAGAGGCTTGAGTCGTGCCCCAAGCTGCAGGTGGAGAACTTGTTGACATCTTTCCCTCCTACTTGGAGGACCAGCTTCAAGGGCTTCTCGCATGTTCCTCGTAGAGGCAGGTGTTTGTAAGACCTGTGCTTCTTGCCCATGTCCCACCAGAACCGTGGTGCCTGCCCCTCGAGCCAGGCTCAGGCCCTGCAGCACCACATCTGGACAGGGCCAGGTGAGGGAGGGCCCAAGCAGGTCTGAGAGAGAGCTCCAGCCCGAGAGCCTCATGATCTTAATTTTATAGAGAAGATCTATACACACCTGAACACTTATTTTAGCCCCCCTCCCTGCCCTTATTTGTAACTTTCCACCAGTCCCATTAACCTCAATGCATTTACTGACTTGCTCAAACCTCCCTGTATGTAATCAAACTTTAGAAAGCAAGGCTTCATGAGGGAGGAAAGCGAAGGAAAAAGGAGCTAATTATTCTTTGAAGAAGACATGTTCAAACTAGGCTTTTCTGACCTTTACCCATCTGTGGGAGTGGGAGTGTCCAGGAGCATTTGGAGGGAACAGTGTTGCTACCCATCTAATATAATGGTTCTCAATTTTGAATTTGACTTTCGACTTTGGCTGCATATTAGAATCATCTGGGAAGCATTTTCAAACATTTTCTAATCCACGCTCCATATCAGTTAAATCCATGGTGAAACCCGTTCATCAATCATTTTTAAGCTCCTTGGTGGTTCCAATGTGAGTCAAGGTTAAGAAAGAACAAAGTAGATTTCTACCGTACAAGCATGTTATAATGATTAGATCATTCTTTCAAATTGTGTTTTTCAAAGGCAGTATAAATACAAGATAGTATAAAAGTGAAAACTTGTGAAAGGCTCACATCTCCATTTTAAATTTTAAGGCTTGAAGTATTTTCTGTTTGGGTATTTAATAAGACTTGTCTTTGGAAAATGTATCCAGCAAAGACCTAATGTAGAATCTGGAGCTCTGGCTAAAACATTTTGCTTTATTTGATTTGCCCTCTAGCAATTCTTCTCAAGTTTTTTTTTTTTTCAAATATATTTTATTGATTTTTTTACAGAGAGGAAGGGAGAGGGATAGAGAGTTAGAAACATCGATGGTAGAGAAACATCGATCAGCTGCCTCCTGCACACCCCCTACTGGGGATGTGCCCGCAACCAAGGTACATGCCCTTGACTGGAATCGAACCCAGGACCCTTCAGTCCGCAGGCTGGCGCTCTATCCACTGAGCCAAACCGATTAGGGCATCAAGTTTTAATGTTCATATTAACCCTTTGCATATCTTGTCACAATGTAGATTCAGCTTTACGAGGTCTGGGATGAGGTAATAGGGACTATTTCTATAAAGTGATGTCAAAGTTGCTTGTCTGAGGACCATATTTGGTGGCCAGACCACTGAGTCTCTGCCCTAATAATTTAGTCAGTGAATACTAATTTTGGAAGAATGAGCCTCTTTTTGAATATGATAAAACCTAGGGACTTTCACCAGAAAAAAAAAAAATGGACATGTGCAGGTATATACCTAAGCATACTATTTCAAGGGACTCATGCATTTATTCAATGAATACCTATTTATGAGTACTAAGTATTGTTGAGTGCTAATTATAGAGTGATGAGCAAGATAGACAAGATCTCCACCTCAGAGCTTTGGGGGACAAAACACCACCAAGTAAATAAAAAAGGCAAGCCACATGCCACGGTCCCATGATGGAGAAATTGGTTGGAGGAGTGCAGGAAGTGGTCTGGTAAACTGGTCTGTTTGTGGAGACATCTTGGCCAGAGACCTGAACACCACTCACTGGAGGGAAAGCATCCCAGGCAATAAACTGAGAGGTCTGAAGTGGAAACGAGCTCAGCATTTTCAAAAGACAGAGAGCAGCTGGTATGGCAGGCACAGAGCAAGTGAGGGAGAGTGACAGGAGGTGACTTCAGGGGCAGAGGCCAGATCACGCAGAGCCTTGTAGGTTGTTACAAGGAGGTGGCTTCCACCCGACCCACTTGCCCAAGCCTATTTCTAGACCCTAAAGGAGCCACAGTCTCCATTTCACGAACTCCAGAGGGAGATGCTCACTTAGGAAAAAATGTCTTATGGGGGTTAAAGACTCAGAGAATACATCTGAAAATACAGAGGACAGAGCCATTTTCTAGACCCTCAGATGGGCAGTGTCTCGAGTATGGCTGCGAGGCACAACTGCTTGCTGAATTATTGCAAGTTAAAGTTGCTATTTGCAAGCAACATTTTACAGAGGCCTCTCTCTAATCATCATCCTGTCTCTGCCCACTACAGAATGCTAAGGCATCCCAGGCCTGCCCGCGATACATTCAGTAGGCTTGACATCTCTTTACTTCTTCAAATGGCCAATAAGGGCTTTGCATTTGCTGAGTTGTGAGAGCTTGGATGTGGCTTTATTCAACATGTCACTCTGCTTTGGGGAGCCTATATACAGTGTGGCAATCTGGCTTTGCGCAGTCTCCATTTCTTCAAGTGACTCAAAAGGTAATTGTCTTTGAACTCTCCTATGTTGATGGCTGGCTTGAGAATGTAAACAGTCTGTAAAACAGCTGCCCCATCAGAACTAAGAAGATTTAATACTTTACTTTTTCCAGAGATCCTCTTAGATCCCTAAATTAGAGGAAGGAAAAGGCACTGGCATTCTGATTTCTAATTCATTCTTTTCTTGAAGTGAATCTGAAAATAAAGAATTCAAAATCCCAATTCTAATTTGAGAGCAGACGTGTGGAAACAGCACTGAACCACAGTCCTACTAGGCAGCCTTTAGATTGTGTGGTTAAGAAGGCAGCCCTGGCCTTTACTGGCCTCAGGTTTTTCATCTATAATGAAGATATTGAATTAAACAAGCTTCTAAACCAGGACCAGCTGTATGAAAGATCCTCCCCTGAAAATCATACTGCCCCCCTGTCCACACACAAACAAAACAAGGAAACTTTCTTTTTTTTTTTTTTTAATATATTTTATTGATATTTTACAGAGAGGAAGGGAGAGAGATAGAGAGTTAGAAACATCGATGAGAGAGAAACATCGATCAGCTGCCTCCTGCACATCTCCCACTGGGGATATGCCCGCAACCGAGGCACATGCCCTTGACCGGAATCGAACCTGGGACCCTTCAGTCCGCAGGCCGACGCTCTATCCACTGAGCCAAACCGGTTTTGGCAGGAAACTTTCTTACACACACACACACACACACACACACACACACACACACACACATCAATCAATCAATTTTTAAAATTCTACTGTATCTATATTTTGCTTTTCCAGTTTCTCCCTTGGAGAATTATTTTGTACAAAATTAATTTGTAAGTCGAATTGTTGGCCTTCATTTTTTGAGGTGACTGCATTTGGGGGCTGGGTCGGAGAGGCACTGCTCTGAAACATGGTCGTCCACCAAGTGGGCGGGGCATCCTGACAGGGACCTCTAGTCCATAAACCATGGAGCAGGGCACTTTATGGGAGAGATGCCAACCCCAAACACTATATAAAACTAGCAACCTACTGTATGTCTCTGCTAATAGAAAGTAAACCTGTGGGACTACAGACTCTATTCACTCCTATGTCTCCAGTGTCTACAACAGTGCCTGGCACAAGGTAGGTGCTTAGTAAATTTGTTAAATAGATGGAGCCAGGCATTGTGCTTCAACTTTGGTGGCTTCTAGCAGTGCCACACTTTCCATGGGAAAGATGCCCAGGAGCAGGGAAGGGGTGGGAGTGGTAACTCAAACCTCTAGCTCTGCTCCCTTCTTTAGGATCCAAAATCCTTGAACATTTTGAGACTGACTTTCAAAAGTCTCTGATAAAGTAGGTGGAGAAAAGATTGTTTCATTTTTCCAACCCACCCATCTCTTCCTTTCCCCATTGCTGGGGTCTGAATGTGACTCCTGTGCTACAATCCATGTCTGCCCCATGGCAGACACAATTTCTAAGAATCCTATTATGAATGACTTCTAAACTCAAGAATCCTTTCATTCACCTGTTATATAAACCGAGATAGTCAATTGGATTTGTTTAAAACAAAATCCTTTGGACCAAAGATGTAGCTCTCACATTTCAACAGATTCCTACAGTGAGCACATTTTTGCTCAGAGGTTGAAAGAATATGAGAATTGAACTAAATTTTTTTAAACAGATTTAAAATTCTCCTAGTTTTCTCAACAATGCCCTGCTGATGCAGTAAACCACAGCTAAAGTGGCTTTAACAATGATGGACCAGTTGGAAATCATTTGTGTATAAAAAGAAGACATAGAATTTGAGTCTCTTTGGAAAATCAGATGTGAAGTAGCCCCTGGAGCCCAGTGGCTGTTATGAAAGCAGAGGCACCTTCCCATTGGCCGAGGGGATTTACCCAGATGTCTGGCTTCCACATAAAAGGCAGGAACCACTGAAGTCAGTTTCTACTTCCACTCAAAGGGCGATAGCATAAGCAGCAAACAAGACGATGGCAAGACTGTTGTTACTTTTCCTTCCAGGTCTTGTGGCCGTAGGCACCGTGCATGGAATATTTATGGACAAACTTGCATCCAAGAAGCTCTGTGCAGATGACGAGTGCGTCTGTAAGGACTTTTTAAATGCCTTTTATTATGTTGTTATTAAATAATTGAAAAACTATCCACTAATAGCACAACATCTGATTGTTCTTTGAAGTGAATCTTCTCTAATGTGTATGTTTGATTGGCATTGTTTTATCCTGGTCTGTATCTCTAGAGAGTTAACCATAGGATATCTGCTTGGCTAAGGTTCTGTTGGATGCAGCTTTAATGCTTTGTATTTCTTACTCCCTTTGAACTGACCAGAAGCTGTGAATGGGGAGGTATTAGTCACTCCGATTTCCGAGTTTTCTGCTCTGCTCTGCCTTTTTACTGTTTTAAAATCTAGGAGCCAAAAAGGTAGTCATTCAATGTTTTGTTTTGTTTTTCCTTCCAGATACTATTTCTCTGGCCAGAGCTCAAGAAGATTACAATGCCCCAGACTGTAGATTCATTAACGTTAAAAAAGGGCAGCAGATATATGTTTACTCAAAGCTGGTAAAAGAAAATGAAGCTGGAGAATTTTGGGCTGGCAGTGTAAGATGAGATTATTGAAAATATACACACATCTTGACATATGTTGCTCTTAATGTTTTTCTCTATTACTTATCTTCAATGCATTTTACATGTTTAAAACTGGCCGTTAAGAACAATGTAGAGATTGTAGATGCAAGTACAAAAACTCATGTATATTTGTTTTTATGGTATTTTGAAGAAACAATGACAATTTTATAACAGAGCCAAATGCAGGCTTATGTGATGTTTTTGCAAGAAAAACTAGTTAGATACATGGGAACTTGAGCCTCCCAAAGAGTTTGAAACTTACTAAAAGTTACTTGGATTAGCCAAGTAAAGGTATGTATGTTGGCAGTCAGTCTATGTTTCAATATTTTAAAGGAAACTTTAGCCCCTTCTTTAATTCCAAAGAATCTCCTTTTTTTAGTTAAAATGTGTAGAATGGGCCCTGGGGAGGGGTAAAGCCAGGACTGACTTACTGTCCTCATCGGTAGTGCCACAGATAGATTCTCAGGTAACGAAGAATTAAATCTTAAACTCACTCAAGTATCTGTTCATTTAAATTTTTAAAAACTGAGAAATGCAAGTCCTTTAAAATAAAATTTACTTTTAAAAATTTACTGACTTTGTTTATTTATGATTCCAAAGTTATCTCAGGCAGCTCACAAGATTACAGAAAATAAAGGCATGCTGAAGTAGTGAGACCACTAAGAGACTGGGCCACAGACGAATAGATACACAACTTCTGGGGGTTGTGTAATTACAGACCTAATTCTGTAAGTGAACTTAAAATTTCAGTCTGAGCCCCCGGGATCCTGAGTGAAGTGCAAGGCATTGGCAGTTATGTCATTCTCACTAACAGCAAAGGGGATGCCTGAGGGTCTCTGGAGCCTCACATCCGCTTTCCTCTGACTGTTTCATTTCTGGGCACAGGTGTATAGCGATGACCATGAGGATGAGATGGGAACAGTGGGTTATTTTCCCAGGAACTTGGTGGAGGAGCAACACGTGTACCAGGAAGCCACCAAGGAAGTCCCGACCACAGTAAGTGTCTCAGAGGTGGCCAGAGAAAGACTCAGCTCTTGGCATAATGCAGGCTGGTGTTTACGTGCATCATGTAACTCACAATATGTATGGAGCAAAGCCCCAGGTTCCCGTGGGGACTTCTGAGACAGAGAGGTTTGGGAGAGCATCCATACCTACTACCAAGGTTGAAAGAGTATTGAACTTTCTCCATTGACCCCCCCTTTTGTTTTAGTTGAAAGTAAAGAAACCAAAACAGTATCATCTGACTCTAACTGATGGTCACATATTTATTTGCTCAAGACTTGGGCTGGGGAAAAAATATACCACCTGTATTTAATAAAGTCAATATATTCTGGTAAAATCTTTGAATACCTTATTTTTGTGGTAGACTCCACTTATGTATGAAAAAAAATTACACTCTTTCCAATGCCCTGGGGTCTTGTAAACCCAGGACAGAAATAAAAGATCCCCTTATAGCTACTTTGTAAGGTGGTTATTTTGAAGCCGTTCTCCTGGAGCTAACTGCTGTGCTAAATAATTTCAAAACATTGCCCAACCTAACCAAATGGAATTCACTTGTCATCATTTGTTAGCATTGAACTTGAATGTGTCAAATAACCATAAATTAAAAGTGTATTTGAGAACTTTCATTTTAAGTGATTTTACTTTAAAGTGATAATTAAGTCATAATCTTTGGGTTTCAACCCTTACTTATTTTAAGTCCAAATTAAGCTTTGATTGGGTATTATTTTAAATAAAGAATCTACATCTGTTTTCTGGCCCCACCTCTCAGTTCATTCTTTTTTTCCTTTTGTTTCTGTTCCAGGATATTGACTTTTTCTGCGAGTAAGAAATTAGACAAATCTGCAAGTAGAAGGAAAACACCAAAATTAAGAAAAAAGGCAAACAAACAAGAAACCCCAAATTCTGTGTCCCTTATTTTGGACTTTGGTTTCCAGGATTTGTTACCTTACAGGAGGACTAAGGTTTGGGGCCATAGGTGGCAGAAAAGGAAGGGCTTCAACTCAGTCTCATTTTCTATTGGCTTGGTTTCAGCGCAAGTGGGTGATTGAAAGCAGAGGATTACTTGTCAGCCTTCTCTTACCGGGGGATGCATAGAGAAGATAGTTCATCCGTAGCTATTTCTGAGGAGTAATTCTCCCCCGCTCTTTGGCTCCCTGTATAAACCTGGTAGATCACACAGGTCTTTCCTTGGGACATGCTGTTTTCTTCCTACATGACTTTATGGAAAATTGGAATGTTATAATTTACACAAAGGTGCTGTATCATCAGGGAATACTCTAGGATTGTTGTTACTTTTCGCCTTTGATGGCTTTGGGATGTGAAGTTGTTGGTGGGGGGAGAGCTATTCGGACTCATAGATGTTTGAACTATGCTTTTAAATTTATCTTTTTAAAAAGTCTCACAAATTATTTCATCTGAATAATTTTACCCTCTAAATGATCAATTTACCCCACTCCAAATTTTAAATATGTGTGTATACAGTGGGGGTGGGACAGGTTATAAAATATTTTTAATGAGATGGTTTCCCTTTAATATGTGCTACCACTTGGTGTTATTCAAGCTTCAAGTGAAAAGACACAGAAAAAAAAAAAAATCTGTAGGTTATTTTCTCCTTCTGTTTCAACTTGAATTTCCTCTTCCTGTGCAAATTCCCCAGTCAAGGACGATGTGGCAAGAAAATCTGGTGAGGGACGCAGGTTGGGTAGTTCCAATTGACCCATAAGTTTTCCTATATTTAACTGGAAATCTGCTTTGGCTTTGTATTACTAATGTCATTCTTTTGATGTAGTCATAAATTTGTGTTGTTTGTCAGTTTACAATGTTAATAAAAATGTCTGTACTAGACAAAAAAATTTCACCATTTCTGAGTTTAAATTTATTTTAAAAACATTTTTACCTTAGTGTGTAGAAAGTCGGTGCCAGGGGAGGGGGGTGGCTAGAAATAGGGTTTGTTCCTCAGCTTTCTGTGGTCTGGTCATCCTACAACCATGAAGAGGGGGCCATTCAAGGTAAGTTGGAGACTTAGACCCCAGGGTCATTTTTCATCTAGGTCCACTGTGACTTTAGATGAAGATGTTTTTACCAAATTATTATGGTAAATGATACACCCCTCTTCCCCCCCAAAAAGCCTAAAACCCCCAAACTAGATTATTTGTTTCTATCTTACTGTATTCTATTAAAAGTTTCAGGCAGCATGTAGGGCTCTCAACACACGTTTAAGGTAAGAAGAGTTTACTCTACCTTTGTTTCTAGTTGTCTCTTGCCTGCCGGCTCCCTCATTCCAGATACTCCATCAGCCCTTGAAACACCCAGAAGCCCCATTGTCCTCTCAATCTACCCAACACCCCCATCTGTCTGGCCTCATGCATCCAGCCTCACTTTCCAACCACAGGGCTTCCAACTGCAGGCTCCCTCCTTGCCCCAGCCAGCTCCTACCCTCCAGAACTGACATCTACCTTGAGAAAAGGGGGCTGAGTAGTGAAGGGTGAGGGTTGTGAAGGGTGAGTAGTGAAGGGTGAGGGTTGGAGGGGGGGGGGCACTGAGGCCTCTGGGACCCATTCTCACTTGGGGAGTTTTCCTTCCTTTCTTCCTTCCCACTAAGAGCAAAGACATTTTAACAACTCAGAGAGGCTATCACCACCGACATTGTTGGTTCACAACCTCAGGAGTTCCCGGGGTTAAATCTGAAACTGGCCCCTGTACCCAGAGGGCAAGGAGAGTGGGTAGAAAAGGGCAGGCCACTCCAGTCCGGTAGATGGCAGGTTAAGAAGCTAGAGGACTTGCATACGAGGCCGCCAGACCTCGCAGTGTGACTAAGTTCAGCAGCCGTTTTTGTGTATTAAAGCTTTAGAAAACTCTGGCAGATTTCCTAGGCTTTGAAGAAAGAGAAGTCAAAGGTGCCGTTGCCTTTAGCATCACGCACCCCTGCCCCGAGATAAATGTGGGCATTTATTGCTTCTCGTGTTTATTGGTTGAGGAGACACTCGTGCCCTTGTGGATCTGATTCAATACAGGGACATATTGAGCTCATCTGTGTGGTATTTAGACAAATCTCTGGAGGGAGCGGGTATTTCAGCTCTGAATGGAGAGAAGAAATAGGAGCTAGCACTAGGAAGAAAATCTCATTTCTTCAACCCTCAGCCTCATCTATCTGAAATGATAAATAAAATAAGAGAAAAACAAATTATACAAGCTAATACCATTCCACATTGTACCCTTGAAATGCAATTTTCGTGACTTAAAGGCCTTCCCATGCTCTGATGTCGTCTCAGCTGTGTCCCCTACAAACACCAGGATATATCAGCAATTCAATCAGGAAATGACATATTGATCACATGCTTTATATAACCACCCTCTAACCCATCATTAACTGAGACAGAGAATGCTCCCCAACCCATGATTTAAATATTTTTCTAAATGGGAATGACTTTTCTGTCACACATGAGCAATTGTTTTAATCATTTTTTCGCAAGCATGCACTATCCTAAAGCCAGTGTGTGTGGGAGGTGAAAAATGAGGTGGTGCTCCTCATAGCTCACCCTGCTTTCCCACTGCTCATGTCCTGTTATCCTCCCTCTCCCCTTTTCCTAGTTGCTTCACCAGGTGAATTTATTCTGGACACAAGAACCAGGTGAGGTGGGAATGTTAATTTGAGTAATCCTATGTAGACATGGAAAAAAATAACAAGTAAAACTTCTCTCCCTGCTCTTTCTCATCTTGGGTACCTTATGACTCCAAAGTGATTTAAAGATCTTTTTATCTGCTTCTAGATATTTTTTTCTGAGTCTTCAGATGCCACAAGTGGATAAAGCTCAAGCCTTGACCCCCATGGACCACAAGCACAGACACTGTTTCCTGAGAAGTAGCCCTCAGTCATGCTCAGAGGGTCAGCAGGCAGAACCGGTCAGCTGGACAGAACCACAGGAAAAGGCAGAGGGGTCTGGGCCCAGGCTAGCTAACTTGCAAGCCCAAATCCTACTGATACCTGACTCAGAAAGAGAGAGGATCCTGGGGAAAAGGAACCAAGGGTTTTTGAGTAGGGACTGTAAACCAGCACCTGTGAGGAGGTTCCCCAGAAGTAGACCTTGAGATGGGGATTTAGGTACAGTAATTTATGAAAGAACTAGAGGCCCAATGCACGAAAATTCGTGCAAGAGTAGGCCTTCCCTCTCCCAGCTGCCAGCACCAGCTTCCCTCTGGCACCCAGGACTGGGATTCGCCCTGGCCGGACACGGGCTGCTTCCCTTCAACTTCCGCCTCCAGGCACCTGGGACCCGGGTGGCTTCACTCCGGCCCTGACTTCGTCCAGAAGGACGTCCAGAATGATGCCCAGAAGGATGTTTGGTCTAATGGTCTAATTAGCATGTTACCCTTTTATTATTATAGATGGCTCTGGGGAAAAGAGGAAGAGCGAGAAGAGTAGCAGGACAGGTCAACAAGGGTGCAGCCCTACAGTGCTGGTCTCTGCCTCATCCCACGGGGCCTCAGAGAGTTATTCTCAGGGGCTGCCTAGCCAGAGTCTAGGAAGCTGAGCTTCTGTTGGCCTGTTGGTCACTGATTAAGGGCTGCCATGGGGGAACATTGTCTCCCAGCAGTAATGGCCCTCTCTTCATATGGGCACAGCGGGCTTGAGCTGCTGTAAGTGCCGAGGCTACCTGACAACACTGAAAGGGCATTCCGGGGCACTGGGGTGGGGGAGCACTGACTATCTGCTTGCTGGGCACAAGCTGCTTTTCACTTCATTTCATCTTCCCAGCAATCTGTGACTACCCGGGAGCCCTTACCATAACCTTCCTGGGACAAGTGAAGGCTACTCTGTCCCACATTTCCTCCCAGATCAGCCTACATGGGCCCTGAAACTTCCTGGTGTGGAAGTTAGCTGTAGTGAGAAACTTCGGTGAAACCAGGGTGACATCCAGTGGTGAGCTTGGGATCTGGCATACAGAGAGCTTTCTGAACCAGTCAGCATCCCAGGGTGTGAGCATCCTTCATAGCGCTCTGAATCGTTGATATCAGGGCCGCCTCCTCCAACGGACTCTGCGTACCTCACCCCTCCCCTCCAACACAATCTTAAAATCTGCCTGTCACATGGCAGAGAGAGGGCTATTCATATGCCTTTACCGCTGACCTTAACATACATTAAACTGATTTGAAAATTCACAGGTCAGGGGAAAGCTGACATTTCACTTTCGCATCTGTTTTGCATGTTTGCCTTGGATGTGGAGCCCTGCAGATTGTTTTACTTGACTTACTCCATTTACAGAAAAGCAGCAATAGCACCTGGAGCTCAGAGAGTAGAAGCTTCTCCAGAAAACAATCAGCAGGGCCCCAGCCCTCTCCAGGGGTGTCAGTGGGTGGCTGAAAGGCATGGGACTCAGTGCCCCACATCACGTACTAATGAAGCGTGCGGGCAGGCATCTGCAGTTAGACAAGCTGGCTTGCCGAGCACACGCTCTCCATGGCCCCGCGCTGAGGCATGGTCTAATTTGTCTAACAGCTGGGTGCTCCACAGGGGCCATTTGATCCCATTCCCCACCTCCTCCTGGGGACATTGGGCAATGTCTGCAGACTTTTATTTTTATATCCTCACCTGAGGATATGATTTTATTGATTTTTTAGAGAGGGAAGATGGGAGAGAGAGAAAAGGAAACATAGATGTGTGAGAGAAACATCAATGGGTTGCCTCCTGTACATGCCGGGACTAGGGATCAAACCCACAATCTAGATATATGGTACCCTGACTAGGAATCAAACCTGCAACCTTTGGTGTATGGGGCGATACTCTAACCAACCGGGCCACCAGGCCAGAGCTGTCTGCAGACATTCTTGATTGTCACAATGGAGGGGGGCAGTTCTGGCATCCAGTGGCGGAGGCCAGCGATGCTGCCAAACATCCTATAGCACACCAGAGAGCCCGACCAGGAACGATCGAGACCAATGCCAGCAGTGTCCATTGGGAAAGCCTGCTCTCTAAAGGGTGATATTAATCAATGGGTGACCTTTGAGAGAATGGCAAGCACTAGAAAGGTCAAAGCAATTACGTGGCTGTGTTTATTCTCCAATTCTGGAGTGTAATTTTTTTTTTTTTTTGTAATGAATCATTAGGTAGAGCCGGAAAAGCAGGTCTGTGCAGGTTTATCTTGACACACGAACACCACACCTTCTGCACTGGCACACAGCACAGAGACAACCTCCATCTTGCAGTCGGCTTACAAAGGGGCATCAGCAATTCCCTTTCTCCAGGATTTTAAATGCAGCCCTTTGCTTCCTTCCTGCTATAGCTGTGCACCCTCTTACTCTGGAGGTAACATTTCCCCCGAAATGAATGCCCTTCAGCAGTCCAGGAGGGCTGGGCTCCTGAAGGGCTGGTGCAGGATGGGGGCCTAAGGCTATTTGAATTTCTTCCGCATCCTCTAGCTTGGCAAACTCATTAGTCAACAGAGCCAAATATCAACAGTACAATGATTGAAATTTCTTTTGAGAGCCAAATTTTTTAAACTTAAACTATATAGGTAGGTACATTGTTATTAACTTAATTAGGGTGCTCCTAAGGCTTGGGAAGAGCCACACTCAAGGGGCCAAAGAGCCGCATGTGGCTTGTGAGCCGCAGTTTGCCGACCACGGCTCTAGGAGACTGCTTAATTGCTTTTCAAACAGCTATCACGTCCTCCCAGCTTTACAGCTTCTTCCAGGAGATGATTACAATGTCCTATTATTTTTCAAGCAAAAATAGTGCTTGCTCCCCAGTCGGTAATGTATGCACTGTCAATTTCAATAGCGCCTGCTCTCTTCACCTGCCATGGATCT